GATCTCCTTGTATTTTGCAGTCAGTTATTCGGCAGCAACTCTTTCCTAGCACTTTTGCGTGGACTGTATCAGTGAAACATAAAAAGTAATGTTCCGATTATGGAGCACTCCTTATTAATCCCTTCTTGATCATGGGTATTGCAACCCTGTTCTCCATTCCGCTGGTGTCTTTCCCGTAGCTATTACAGTTTGACAGACACGTGCCCTGTTCGTTTAATGCTATAAACATTTCAGGGCGGATTTCATCGATTCCCGCGTAGGTTCCACTTCTCAACCTTTTCACGGCTTGTGTGATTTCGTCTACAGAAATAATAATATCCCTTTCTTAGTGCTCTTCAGGCGGGTCCTCCTGCAGCTGTTCGGGGTTGAGGAGTTACTCAAGGAATTACTTTCACATTCCTCAAGGAATGCCCTCTTTCTCAGAATTATAATGTCCAGACGTGTCCTTCAGGACTCTTAACCGTCATTCTTTTCATCTCGGAGCCGACGAATGATCTGCTAGAACACTTTGATTGCCGTGTAGAAATTCGACTTCGACACCTCAACGACCTTTCGAAGAATCAGCTTTGATTTTGCCACTGCTTTGACTGCCGCCTTACGCTCATCGATGCATCGCATGCGAGTTGAAAGCTCCTTGATTGCAAACACAGCCTTCTGTTTAACTGCCAGTTGTACCTTCCGTGTCCACCAGGAAGTTTTTTTCTGACCTCCGGGCGAAGGCCAACCCGTTTATATCCGCAGCACTCAGCTGTAGCTCGAGTATGCCGCTCTTAAAGAGCTGCCGCTCGGTTTCTACATCAGTGGTCATCACAAAGATCTGTTCAACCCGTCGAACAAATCTGTACGATCTTGTTTGCAAATTTCGCTTTCGTGTCCACCGAAGATAATGTTTCCCATTTGATTCTCCGGTTGTTTTTGCCAAAAAGTCTTTGCTTTGTACTCCATCTTTCACAGCGTAGCATTCCAACAACAAGGTGATGATCCACAGCGATAACAAGGTGACAGCTTTGCCTCTGTCTTAATGTGAATATCGATGAAAAATCGTCAGTCAGACTATCAAATCGATCATTCACTTCTGTGCACAAGCTTCATTTGGTTATTACTGAGGTCTCTCGGACGTTCTTCCCAATCACGCTTTTCTACTTTTCAGTGTCTGCTCTGACAAGTCACGGAAATCGCCCATCGGATGAGGGACTGCATAGTTTGCACTTAGTTCAGGGTGTGTTTCACTTATTCAAAAAAGGACTCATATTCTTCCTCCAGACGCGTAGCGAGTTGAAAGCTTTAGCTTGCTGCAGCTTCAGGCAGAGGATTGCCCCTCTTCCGATGACAATCTTCCATTCAAAGATTCTGTCAGCAAGGTTGGGTTGTGCAAGAACACCAACGCAGGCCTGAGTGGGCATCGCAATGTCGACACTGGAAGAGAACAGCTGCCACTCGCAGAGGTTCAAGGCTCCGAGATTGGTGCTTCGTTGGTGAGAGTCTAAATAATTGGTACCCTGCGGCCTCATCATCTGGCCCTAGCTCTTTCCTTCTGAATGAAGATATGTTCTAATTTTCGACTGTCGGTGTCGTTCCTGTTGAGGTTTATCTGACGTTCTAGAGTGACATTGCGGTGTCTGTTTCTTCCTTTAAGAACCGTTAGTGGCGGTAGGATTGGTATCTTTTTCATCACTTTGTCGACCTTCAGAAGTTGTTGTCCTGTCATTACACCCTGACTGTCAAAACGCAATGAGCACATTTTAATCACCGATTTTTCATAGCTGCTTCGGTCGCCCTACGGCCTTCACGACCGCTGGTAATCCGGACTAAAACCAAGCCAATGTAATGTTCGATGACAGCATTAGCATGAAAGGAGGTGGCTAATTGTTGTAGATATCTCGCCTCGGTCTCAAACCGTACTACTTTTTCATCTGTTCATTTTTTACGTGAATTCATGAGAAACAATTTTTCCCGTATCTAGTAACTTCAGTGTCTGTGTTTTTTATCAAGCTTCATTGCATTTTTCTCTTTTAGGAAAGGGAAAGAGTGCTGGCGTTGCCTCATCATTTTTGAACAACATCGAAACATATTGCAGTTCAAAGAAAGTATGTTAATTTTTCCGTTAATCAGTGGTAAACTACTTTACTGATTCAACGGTCGTTTCGGTGCCCTCAAATTGATGTTTACGCTTGACAAAAATGTACCAATTAATTATTAAAACTGTGATGATTAAAGACTAAATTCCTTTCGACTAATATTTCTTTTTATTTTTTTTATCTCGAGTGAGAATTCAGTAGTATAATGAGTTTTCGTTCCTCTACGCGGCGCGATTATCATGATGAATTAACACGCACTTGGAACGCTCGACCAGCAGCATCAAAAACAGACCTTTCGCCTTGTGTTGATTAGCGCATTAAATAAGCAGTTATGTAGTTTACGGCGAATTGCTGCTCTACGAGGCGCTCCCCCCCCATACGGCATGATCGCACCCCTCGGCAATATTGGCAGAATTAATCCAGAACACCGCACTGTCCTTATCGTTATGTAAGTCAAGGACTTGGCATCTTTTCTCATTTGGTTGACCAAAGCATTCCTCGAGTAAATTTTTAGGGGTTAACACAAAAACAAGTCTCTTCTGAGGATTCGATCCCGGCACCTCCGGAGGTTGAAACCGACCTCTTGAACACTCTGCCCATCAACAAGGTTTGGATGAACGCTTGACCAAACTCGAGTATTTTTTCTTTTCTGAGTCTCGACACGTGGCATTGCGACTTGGCGTTAGAGTGTATGCAGGTAACTCAAGCTAATGGCTGCCTAATGATCATGGATTAGCTGGAGAATCGAATTCTGCAATGCCTACAAAGCAGTGAAACGTTGAGGCAGCCTCTACAACAACAACGTTAATATTTTTGGCTGATTGTCACATCGAGTAGTCAGCTATACGGAGTATTACGGAGTACTGAAGTCCTCAAGAGCCGTTTGCATCAGACAACACTGTCGTATCTGTCGTTTCTGCTCATATAATCACAGCGGAATAGTTATTCTCGTGGCAGCAGGTTCTTGTGATTGCACCTTCTGCTGATTATCAATGCATATGCTAATTTACTCTTCTGTCACATGATATCATCACTGCACAAAATGGCTCGATATCGATCAAGTGAGTGTTAAGTGCTACTTGAGAGCACTGCCTTACTCTGCCAAAACGTTTCTGTGCAACTTATTTCACGTTTTGTAACTTTCTGACCATTACAGCATTTCATTTGTCTCATTTCTTCTCCTGACTTATTAGTCTTTTTACCTCACTTACTCAACTTACAGTACTGATACTTTCAAGCTCATCAAAACATGTGCTGAGTTGAAGCTGTTTTTTATTGGATTATAATTTCTTCTTTCAGCGAAATGCAGTGCGGAAAATACCTTGAAGGAGGTATGCAGCCAGTTCTTTGGTGATACCCCAGTGATCACTCTTTTCCGTGGTAAGCCAGAGCCTTCTTTTTCTGCACAGCAGCGGCGATGACCAGCATTTTAGCCAATCCTCAGCCGGAGCCGTGCCCATTTCGTGGACCGTTCAACTTCACGTACGAAAATTACCGTGGTTCGTGTAAAACGAGGATCTCCACGGGTGACTTCTGTGTCTCCAGTTCAAAATTGAAACTCAATTACCAGTCTTGTCCCGAAACATACCTCAGCGAAAGCAAGGTCGAGTTCATCGAGTGCGTAGCTCGATGGACGAGCGACAGGTACAACTTCTTCGCCGGAAAGTTACTCGGAAAATCGTCATTTTCCGAAGCGGATAATTTCCGATGCTTTGTGAGTCTGAAGCAAAATAGTCCTCAATCAGTATTTGATTTGTACGTCCGTATTTCAGACGTACGAACTGAGTCCCCGTGGCGGAGTGGTCAGCATTTCTGCCGACGCAAGCTGCCAAGAATTGACGGACATCGACACGGCAGCAGTGCGTCTGGAATTTCAAAACGGTAGGTTGCTGTTTGTTGTCCGCATTCGATTGATTCATATGAGCTAGAAGGTACTGTAGGTGCCCGTCGAGTGGCTGTAATCGATCGATGGACGTCTAGGATTTGTTGCCGTTTGGAAATGGTGGCACTTCAGTCTTGTATACACAATGATTTTCCTTTTTAATTTTTTGTTAAAAACAAGAATTGTTTTTATTTGAAAAACTATTTCCAACGACGAACACAGCTTTTGTCAACACACAAACTGCGGAACGAAACCTTTATGCTCTTCATCGCGCTGGAAAGGACGGCCTCTCCATATTTGCGTTCAGACAAATTCTGGGTACTCACGACCGCCGTTCTCAGATTCGCTTCAAGAATTATCACAGTCGAATTTATCACTCTTACTGCATCACTCAAGAGGTAAAAAAGTCATTTACTTCAATGACGGCCTGTCAGGTTCGTCGAACGCTACAACCAATAAGCGTTCACCACCACCCCGTTCCCCACCGGGACGTGTTCCACCTGGTGCTCTCATGGTTGGTCCATCGGAACGTAACTTTTAGCAACGCCTGCGCTTTTGCTAAAGAATGAACTTTTAACGTTTCATGTCCGGATCAATTCAAAAAACGGCCTGCCGCTTTGCAATGTGGCTAAGAATAATAACATTAAAGTAGCTATATCTCCCATGCTATGGTATTTACAGAAGTCGTTTTCTAACATCACATTTCCTTCACTCGATGAACCCACATACAGTGAGTGAAAAACTTCCTGGTGATATGACATGAGACTTGCTCACGTTTCCTCCACACGTTGCAGGTCCCGCCGCACAGTCCAATCAAACTTGTTATGGTTGTAGGAACAGCTCTCATACCGTACCAAAGAGCCTATAGACGACCCAGCAGCATACAGAAATCGCTGCCAAACAATTGATGCTTTGATAGTGCGAGTATTAACTTTTT